AGGGCAGCTGTCTAGTCCTCCGGATGACACGAAAAACCGAGGTCCCGCGTATACATTGGAATGCACGTAAAAGATCCCTTGGTAGTTGGAATTCGATATAAGAGTAGGCGATAGTGCCGCAGCCCGGGCAAAAATTCCCTCATAACACACTGTATGGCGTATGCCCGTCTTCATTAGCCCAGCATAGGAGCAGAACAGTAAGACGTTAAACCCCATTTCATTTCATGAATCGAGATACAAATTATATCGTATTGCCTGAATCGCAATACTTATCGTATCGTGACTGCAGTGGCAAAACCCAGCACTAGTGATGGTTATAGCTAAAATAAAAATGGTTATAAAGTATATATTGAAAAGGCAATGTTAAAAATTTCAGTCAAGTGACTTCATTCTGAGCAGTTAGGAACTTGGAAGAGCAGTGTAGTCTCGATTGTCATTGCTACAGTTATTACAATATAATGAATAATGCCTCGATTCTCCATTTTTTTATTAAATCATTAACTGTCGATCCTATTTAAATCTGTTGAAAATTAAAACCATCTTAAGTTCTAGAGTCGATTATGGGCTTTGCATGTAAATATGTGGAATATACATGTATGTCAATTTTGATGAAGATGCGGTGGGTAGAATGTGTGTGGGTGTTGAAAAAGATGTGGAGGTGGTGTGTGCATTGATGGTGGGGAAGATGTGGAGTGAGATAACGATGTGAGGATTGTTTCACATTCCATTCTGCATTTTGAGAAATGGTTAGGTGGCTGAATGGTTAACATTTGCGCTTTGGATCATATGGTCTGCATTTGAGTCAAGTCTCGGGGTTTCGATAAATCGCTGCTTGTACGTGACGAGGAGTAGGGTTGCCTTCAATCTTCACATGCTTTTTCCCTGGTTTTGCTATGCGCAAGCGATTAAGCTGTATGTTAGTACTGAAATAACCTAGTTTATTTCGCGTGGACGTTGAACCTGTTACTAATGGGGAGTCACAGTGGCTAGGTGAGTAAGACACTGGCTCGCTAACCTGGAGGTCACATGTTCGATGCATGCATAGTCCATAGTGCCGCTGCCAGGGCAAAATTTCCCTCATAGCACACTGTATGGCGTATGCCCGTCTTCATTAGCCGAGTTCTACTCCTAAGCAGAACAGTAGGACGTTAAACCCCATTTCATTTCATATCCGGTACTAATGGGCAGGGCATGAAATTATTGAAATAAAATTGATCTGTATATTACTATTATTCCCAAAATAGCCTAGTTTGTGTCTATTGGATGTTAAACTTAAACACTACAATGACCCACCTTCTTAAAGACAATATGAACACCAAGTATATGATTTGATCACAAAACAGGGGCGACTTCTTTGAATTTCGATAATTATTTAATATTGTCTTTTACATTTGTTGTCTCCTGAATTGAAGTTTTGTATTCTTCTCTAATTTTGCCATGTACAATGTAAAGTAAGACGCTTCTAGTATAGTCTCTGTTATTGCTCCCACGACATATATATTGATCAACATGGACTTCTTTTCTTGGTAATCATGCCTTATGAAAATTGCTCATAAAAGGTTTGCCAGAATACGGTCAAAATATCTCTTAGGGCTCTGAGGCCCTTGCCAGGTCGTCGTCACATGGTTCGGAGAGATCCGTAGGGTGAACAAACTTAGGTATTCGCGTTTAATCATCATGCGCAACGAATGTTTCCAACAGGTGCTAGGAATACTTATATGGCTGAATTCGTTGGAAAATTCATGGGTATTCTTGAGTATTTGTCACAACTGTCTTACAAGAGATTATAAAATTATCAAAGTAATCAACAAAGACATACGCGAGCGAGTTTTAATCTCACCGTTAGTTGATTGGTGATCGCTTGTTAATCTATTGTGGCTTCACACCCACCGATTGAAGTTCGGATTATACAATGTTAATTCAATGGAAATCGTGTGACGGGATGGTTGATTGATGTCGTAATTCGGAATATTTAGAATACGGATTACTCAAAGCTTTTTTGGCTGAAGTAATAAGGAAATAAATTGGGACATGATGTCGAATTTCACAGAATGTCGTAGTATTCAGATGTCGGGTGTGACAGAGTCCACTGTAGTTTCATTACATCAATACCTTGAATAAGTTAGATAGTGAGCATTTTCTGCTCAGGGTAAGCAGAGCGATAAGCAATTTCCTTGGTCAAGGCTTTGGAACACAATAACTCTCATTCTAATTGAGCTAGAATGTTCACAATTGGCGTAGGTGTTTATTAGGTCAATGCGTTGATGGAGTTTCGGAGATCAGAATTTTCTGCTTGGGGTAAGCATAGATACAGGTAAGCAATTTGATTGGTTATGCTTAGTTCTAATTAAGTGAGAGTGAGGACACTTGGTGTATAGTTTTATCACATCAATACTTTGACTTAGTTCGATAATGAGCATTTTCTGTTCAGGGTAAGCAGAGCAATAATTAATTTGATTGGTCGAGACTTTGGAACACAATAATGCTCTTTCTAATTGAGGTAGAATGTTCAAACTTGGTGTAGGCATTCATTAGGTGAATTCCTTGATGGAGTTCAATGATAAACATTGTCTGCTTACTGTAAGCAGAACTAAGTAATCTGATTGGTAGATGCTTTGAGGCACGATAACTTTGGTTGTAATTACATGTAAGTGAGAGTGATGAAATTTGTGAGTATAGTTTCATTATATCATTACCAGGACTATGTTCGATGATGAGAATTTTCTGCTTAGACTAAGGAGCGATAAGCAATTTGATTGGTCAAGACTTTGAAACGTAATGGCTCTGCTTTTAATTGAGGTAGAATGTTTAAACTTGATGTAGATGTTCATTAGGTGAATTTCTTGACTGAGTTCAATGATTAACATTTTGAGCTACAAGATAACTTTGATTCTATCTGATAGAGAGCGATGAAACTTAGTGTATAGTTGATAATCAGTTTGATTGCTTGATACTTTTGAAAAAAAATAAATGTGCGATTAATTAATACAGTGTATCTGTCATCTATTTATTTTGGGATTTCGGCGGGGGACATCAGCCTCACTGTTGGCTTGTTATTATTAATCCAGATCTTATATACTATTCAAAAAAAGTAGGGGATATTTGATTTTTAAGTGTTATTAAAGTCACCTAATGAAACTGACGAAGAAACAAATGACAAAATGAAATGAAGTTCACATTCATCGATTTATTCCAAATGATCGTTAGACTAAGTAAGGCACAGACTGACCATTATAAGGGTAAAATGATACCCGGGGTCAAACAGCAAAGTTACCACAGCATCACAACCAAGTCAGTAACGGGTAAATCCTCCTCTGTTTGCCAAACAAGCATTGATCCGACGTTGCATACTCCTAATGAGACGTCTAAGGTCATTTTGGTCCAGATTGTCCCATTCCTGTTGCAACGCAGCAGCAAGTTCTTGGACATTGGCAGGACGTTGTTGACGTTGACGTAACCTCTGTCCAAGCATGTCCCAGACATGCTCGATGGGGGAGAGGTCGGGACTCAGTGCTGGCCAAGGTAATGTGGTGATGTTCTGTTGTTGGAGGTAACCTGTAACGATCCTGGCCCTGTGACATCTTGCGTTGTCATCCTGGAAGATGAAACGGCGGCCATGACGTCGTGCGAACGGCACAACATGGACTGCCAAGATGTTGTCCCGGTAGTACTGGCCTGTAACACGCCCTGCAACAACATGTAAAGCCGTTCTTCCAGCAACAGTGATGCCTCCCCACACCATAACAGAACCACCCCCAAATCGATCATGTCTGATGACGTTAACGTCTTGGAAGCGCTCGTTTCGACGACGCCACACCCTCCTACGTCTGTCCAAAAAATCAACAGTGAACCTTGACTCATCTGAAAACATCACATTGCTCCAGCGTCGATTATCCCAGTGTTGACGATCCCTACACCAACGACGTCTTGCCTGAATGTGATGATCTCTCAAACAAGGGATCACGCGAGGACGACGGGCGCGAAGGTGACCCATATGCAGTCGATTCCGAATCGTCTGGCCACTCACTCTCACACCAGTGTCTGTTTGAAGACGAGCGCTGATCTGATTTGCTGTGATGACACGATTTCTCAAGGCCAAGGTACGGATAAATCGATCCTGGGCTTGAGTTGTCGCCCTTGGTCGACCTGAGGGTGGTCTGTCCTGTACAGATTGTGTATCACGGTATCTGGACCATAGCCTGCTTATGACAGACTGAGAAACATTCATCGTCCGCGCCACAACCGTCTGTGTTGTGCCGATCTGTAGCATGCCAAGGGCACGTAACCTTTCATTTTGGGTAAGCCGACGCATATCAAAATTTGTTTTCTGGTCACTAAAACAATTAAACTGATGTTTCCACCCTGGAATTCAATGCCACAATGACTGTAACATTCAAAGTCAGAGTCGTGCAAATCTTGGGTTGGACCCCCATGATGATCCCAAGCATCACCTGCATTCCATGCGGAAGCTATTGGTGCGTTTGGGCGTCACATGTAACTGGAAATGTTTCTTCTGTTAGGTTCTATAGTGACTTTTTTCGTAGTCATTTGCATATTTTAGTATTATGCCCCCAAAATCAAATATCCCCTACTTTTTTTGAATAGTATATGTTGCTGTGAAGAAAAACCAAGATAATTCTACTTCCATGTTATAAGAATTAGAACAATGTTATAAAAATTAGAACATTAAATAGAACAATGTTATAAATATTAGAACAATGTTATAAGAATTAAAGATTAGAATAATTAAGAATCAAGATACTGTTATTAGAATTAGAATAATCTGAATCATATGTAAGGATTTGAATATTGTTATCAGGTTTAGAAGTACACATAATTTTATAAGAATCGGAAGTACAATGTAATTTTATAAGAATAAGATTGAATTGGAAGTAATTTCATAAGAATTGCAAATAATGTTATGAGAATTACAAATGATGTTATAAGAATTTGAAGTAATGCAATTGCCAATATTTTGTAATAAGCATGAGAATACTTACATGTACTTCTTTAACACTGTGAAGTTTAAGTGATAAAATCAGGATACAATTTCATAGCTTGTTACAACCACATCTTTGGTAAACATTATATAATTCAATTAATTTAACTTGTACACATAGTTGTTTGCGGTAGTTGAATTTGGTCAGCCTATGAATTATAAAATGTACATATGATGTAGTATCCAGTTGAGGAAGTTTACCCACCATTTTTACATGTTACCCTTTATTAATTGTTGACTTAAAGGTAGTAGTACAGCAGCTTACTGCATAAAAACAGGGAAATCGTTCAAATATGAATACAAGCACAGGAATCTGACCTTCTATCCGTGTATATATGCATACATACATGTACACCATGTCCAACCAGACAATATATAATAAAAAAGAACAGGAATGCAATGCCAGTTGAAGATTCGATTTTACCTGCTCTCGCTTCGGCTCGTTTTTTTTTCAACAATTCGTAATGTCAGGCAATCAAACCTCTGTCTATTCACTCAAATATTATTTTTCTTCAATCTAGTCGTTTTGATTTGCATCAATACTCACACAAAACGATATCATAGCCACTTGTTTCCAATATTTACATTATTTTTGTCCATTTCAATTTTGTCACTGCCGCCATGCGCTGACGTCACACAAAATCAATCCGCAGTAAGAATAGACCATTGAAACAAGTGCCAAAAATATTTTTAGTTTTTCTCTCCCTTTCCATTTTCCCCCTTTTGCATGGCGATTTTTGTTGACTTTTGGGTGTAGAATCGAAGAAGAGGGTTTGCATATACATTTTCTGCCAGGTTTTGGTGAATATTCATCATTTTGAGGCGGAAGTACACAAGACTCCAGAGGTTGGTTAGGTTTTTGTGTGACGTCAGCGCATGGCGGCAGTGACAAAATTGAAATGGACGAAAATAATGTAAATATTGGAAACAAGTGGCTATGAAAAAAAACGAGCCGAAGCGAGAGCAGGTAAAATCGAATCTTCAACAGGCATTGCATTCCTGTTCTTTTTTATTATATTATATTGTCTGGTTGGACATGGTGTATGCATATATATACGGAAAGAAGGTCAGACTCCTGTGATACAAGACAAGTATCAAAATTACCATAAATACTCCTTGATGACTACTCTTTTTAAAAAGCCCATTGACTATTCGAAAATCCAATATGGTGACCATCTAAAGATTTAAGAGCTGATTATGGGCTTTGCATGTGAATAATATCTAATTAATGATTTATATAACATTTGAGGCCAAGCGAAAGATCTACATGTACATGTACATGTACAAATTACAATAGGCAGATTTAGCTTTTATTAACATAATGCATCTAAAATTAAATGTATTGGTTTATAACCTCATATACATGTAGGCTGTACAAGAAATATTCTAAAATGTAGTTCACAAAACAAACTATCCTTCAAAAACATCTGTGGAAGTGAGGGGATTTGTTTTGTGGGTTTTTTTTAAATATTAAATCACAAACATTCCAATTTAAGGCTCAACATGTATCTCATCTGTATATTTATGCGTACTCAATTGTTTACAAGAATTCACTTGCATATTAACTGATATTGTTAGTCTGTATACAGTTCTTGGGTATATTATTAACACATGTTTTGTTTTTTAGTTCACATGAACGCTAAGGACAATGAGAAGCGTCAAGATATTGTGAAAATTGTCAATTAGCTTAATTGCAAGTGGTTGCTAATATTAATAGACTTGAAGTCAGTCCAATCTAGTCTAAACTTGAGCTAAATTAGTGAGTCTACTGAACACTTCAAATTCAACCAGAAATGTTTAATAGAGTTGCCTTCCTTTATAACTTATCAAATTTGATGAAATCTTGGGTTGTACATCAAAATATTTATAAAATACCAGGTTATAAAAATTGGATTTGTAAGGTCAAGACCTACATTGTACACGTCAGTGTCTAATCTACATGTGTGTCTGAAATAAAAATGTATCTGTTATTTGCTGTCATGCCTTGCAACATAAGTTCACACCATACATCTTTTGTTTTCACAAGGGTCATGAAGGTTAATGTTACTTGTCAAAAGCATGTACATGTATGTCTTTTTAGTTAAAAATAAGTACACATATACACAATAATGCCATAATTTTACATGTGCCATTCTATCATAATACATGTATTTTTTATACTAAAAAAGTATGTTATAATGAATACTAAAATGTAGTATATCATTAGTAATAATAGTCATATAAAAATTTTATGCTTAAATACATGTACTTCAGGTGACATCAGTATGATGGGCCAAAAGAGTTCACAAATTACAGTAACAACACTAAGACGGTCATGTTCTGTATGTATGATGTGATCTACTTGTAGGGCACGGACCTGAACTAGAATCTCGAGGATACAAATGTACTAATGTAGAGATTTTGCAACCCTGGTTCTCATACATGTATGCCCAGCATGGATCTTGTGGTGCTGACAAAGAAAGCATGCCAAGTAGTTCTCTATATTGATATAGTCGTTATTGACTTTCAAATCTGAAATTTTATTTTGGGGTTTATATAATTTCATAACCTTTAAGAGAAATTAAAATGTTATTACATATTATTGTTTGATTTAACAGCGCTTGATTACACACAAGTGTTTCTAAGCGCATTCACACCAAAAACCAGTTCAAAAACATTTTGAAATAAATATGTTTTTAAGTTAGTCTTTGTTGCACTGACGGAGAAAGCATATTCACTAGAACGTTTATTATATTTAGGAATCCTCAATATACTATGATCACTTGTAGAACGAAGGATGAATCACCTGGAAGTATAGAAATTAAAGAGTTCTTTTAAATTACTGGGTGCCGTGTCAGAATAAATTGATTCAAACACATTCACAAGAGAGAGGGAGAAATGGGGAATAACGTCCACTTGACGTTGGACAGGCGACTCTCCTCCTTGTCACGTACAAACGGGGAATCGAAACCCTGCCATTTAACTCGATGACAGACCGTATGATACAGCGCCCGCGTGTTAACGATTCGACCATCCAACCCCCCTACATTCACAAGAACTCTTCATTGAACACTCACTCAAACCGGAAGCTATTGGAGTTTCTATAACTAAAACTAAGCTGATATATGATCAATTTTCATGTTCTAGTTTCAAATGTATGAGACCTGCAGCATTGTTTTGCACTACTTGTACTCTTGTTAAAGCTGTTTTTGGTGCTCCTAATACATGTAAAAGTGAATTCGCATAGCCTACGGTATATGCGATGTTACTAATACACTGCAGGCAATTGAAACTATATGGGTTACTGGTAACTTATTCCTATATAACAAAACATACATTGTATGACTAAATGTACTTAGTAATAATAGTAATGGTAGTACATTTTCATGACAACTTCTATACTGAAAATCTATAACTCATTCAGTGTTTAAAGTACAAGTATATCAGTGTTAAAAAACCTATTAATAGTTAAAGCCAAATGTAGCTGAGCCTACAGTGTGTTTTTAAGGTAATAGGACAGTATTGTTTAGAAATCAATAGAACTTGCTATAAAATATAACAGAGGGTTGGGTTTTTTAATCATAAACCTAGTTATTTAAGAACGTTGACCTGAATAAGCATTATAGTTATGATTATTCATGTCTTTTGAATTGTAATAATGTTTACAAATTCTGGTTTTATTTTCTCGGTAATAAATATGTGTGAACAGAAAGTTAAATCCTTTCAAATATTAATCCATTGGACTGTAGTCCACAATGCTAATTCTTTTTCACATAGTACATGTAGGTTTAGATAGGTTTTTTTTACACCATTGACGTACATATTTGTAAATCCATTATATAATAAAAAAAAGAAATCCTTCTGGTGGTGATATATCAATTTCCATGTACATTTATGATATAATAATTGCAGTACTGGTAGATAAAGATTATAAATTTCAGTGAGATGAAAGCTGTTTAAAGAGAGATGACCTCTTTAATTTTGTTAAAAAAATAAAAGTGTCATTTTAAAAAGATTTGATGTGTCTATTGTGAGTGTCTGTCTACCTTAAACATTGTAGATCTTAGATGAAGTTGATATTGAGAATATACTTGATATACATGTACATGTATCTTTTGTTAGACAGTTTAAGCCTAAAAAAAAAGGAAATAATTTGTAAATAATTATCTCCTGCTTATTTTTTTAGAAAGAAAATTTTAAGAGTAAACTTGTAAAGTCAGTCCTATGACACTACATGTATGTAGATAATATTTAGATGTAATCGTTGATTGTCCTGTACAATATTGTCCTCATTAATGTATTTATGGAGAGGGTAGGGGTTGTACATGTACACAGCGAATCATATGATTGAAATATAAGTATTTTTTAGGAAAATGCTCAACTTTCTCTAAGAGGCGAAGTACTTATATACACATTGTAGTTCACATTATAGAACCCATGATCATACTGCAAGAAAGAATACAACATAAATTAACTTTATTCTATAAAATCACTTATAAATACTTTTTTCAACTGTATCACTCAATCTTACTTTATTTAGGCTAAAAAAAAACTCAGAGAAAAACTTCCCCAAATATTTCTGCAGAATTTGTTTAATTTCTTTTATCGCAACTACAATTAGAGAATGGAATAAACTTGATCTTTCTAGGAGAAATATACCTACTACATCCAAAACTCGGCTACATCCTCTTAACTGTAAACTCTTCTACCTTTATACATCTATAAATGTACCTCCAGCTTACATCCTGACAGCATTCCCCATTTTCGACCAGTGATTTGAACTAACCTTAATTTCTCAGACCGATTTCTGGCAGCCCTAATTGTGGTTGTGGCCACACCAGTGGAGAATCTGACCATTTTCTCGTTATTTGCCCTTTACATTCTGATGCACAATCAGTCACATTAAAAAAAACCATCCACAATTTTTTTATCAAAAAGCTCAAAATTTATTATTTGGAACTGAAGTCTAAAGACCTAAACTAATTTAATATGAAATGTTTGATTGTGGTATGTAATTATCATGTATATTATAGATAGTCCACATAGCCGTCTAATAAGTTGACTATAAATATAAATACTTTTTTTTTTCATATTTTTCAATAAAGCA